GTGTACTATTATTTAATTTTATTTTTTCTTACTAATTTATTTTTGTCTTATATTATATTTTGTATTATGTATTTCTGATGTCTCTAACCTGCTTATCATCTGGTGTTCCAGGAGCGCAAGCTTCGCCACTGTCGTATGTTTTGCATGCGACCAAAAGCAGCAATTTATGAAAGCGTCTCTGTGCTGTGTTAATCATTCAATGTTACCTTTCTGCCTTCTTACGTCATTTAGTGATTTTTGATTATTTCTTTTTTTTCATACCCCTTGGGGGGACTACATTCCTTCATCTCTCTTATTATTCAAAACGAAAGTGTCTCAAATCCATTATCAGCGTTTGTAAAAAGTCACATCTTGCTCATTTCAAATGTACATATAAACTCCATACATATTCATTGAAGCACGCAGAAATCATAATTGCTCATTTTCTAAATTATTTATAAATAATTAATCGTCTTGAAAATATGTACATACATAGATGCAAAGCATTAGCCACAGTAGCAGTTTTTGAAATATTATTATAATAATACATAATATACATACTAACAATGAACGTTATTTTACAAAATCTGTTAATTTTCTTATTTTTTTTTTGGATTATTTAATTCTCAATTAACGCATGCTTAGAAGAATTCTTTATGAAATATTTGAGCTTTGATAATCTTTTAGCGTTGAATATCCTTTTATTCATAGCTAGTTTCTTAGTAACATCGTAAAATTTTTATAGTTTACACCAGATTCGGCGGGCCATCCACCATTTGCTTTTTGAACTACGGTATATTTGAGCTTTGACAACTTCACTCGCGCACTCCCGATATATCAAATATTGCGTACAAATTTAGCGGTTTTCCAAACGGTTATAAAATTAACTTAAGACATAACTTCGTTTGTAGAAAGTTGATAAATATTGAAAACCTACTTCCGAAATGGTAACTAAATGCACACGAAATTTGTGCGAAAAAAACTTGTTTTCCAGTTAGTAGATGAATTTGTGCCTCGAGTTAACCAAACCGGTTAGTTATCGGAGAAACCAGCTCGCGAACGTACCAGTGTAAAGCGTTCAGGGCAAAATATTGCTGTTGTAACTCAAAATGTGCCATCAACATCATCTCAACACCGTTCGCAGACAGGAGACCTCGGTATAAAAGCTTATAAAGTATAGTCGGCCCATAAACTGAAGATTCATGAAGTGAAGCGCGTTTGGCAGAAGGGGATTTCTGATACCGAAAAATCATATTTCCCGTGTAAGCTCATTTTCAGCTCGTTATGATAACAAGGAAAACTTACGAGCTTGGGAGCTCAGTAGAGCTACATGTAACTATGAATTCAATGGATTCTCAATGAGTGACTATATGTTGCGCCTTTAGTATCAGCGGTATCATTGATACGTTTTTCTTTTTGTAAATAAAGAAGAATTAGGGGAAGAGAGCAACGCTGTTGTTTCATGACAATCGTTACGGAGTCATTTTAAGAGATTTTTCTGTTTCCAAATGTTGAAGATGATGATATGGACAATGTATTTTCACCACCCAGCCAACATTACAATCACTGGGTTCGAAAATGGCATCATTATATATATAAATAGTGCAACGAACGCAACTGCTTTGCCGTTCTAGCTAATAATGCGATTTTCGAACCCAGTGATTGTAATGTTGGCTGGGTGGTGAAACCACGCATTTTTCATTCATAAATACATATATATGTATATATATTCTTGAAACCCGAATTTTAAGTCACCAGTGCTGCTATATATTTATATAGATATATATATAAAATAGGAAAAAAAATTAATCCGTCTTCCATTTTTATTTTTCATGGTCCAAAGTATGTGCATTAGCACCAGTGGGCGGACAAAATGTATGCCTAGAGTTAATGAAGCCAAGTCCGTCTGATTGTACGTTAAACTGGTATCTGCGTTTTTGAGATATTTCAACCAAATGATGATATTTTCACACAGTATTAGCGGTACCAAGGTGTATTTCGCTACACAAAAACAAATATTGATAAAACGATCAAAACTAGAATTCTTTATATTAAAATTTCAATTACTTGTTTCGCAAGTTTTCTTTATTTCTTAGGGAACATTTATCTGAACTCACTTTTTACTAATCCAATGAATTCCCGAATGGTAGAGCACTTCTATGAAAATCGCAAATTCACAAATCACAAATTGAATTTCAAAAAGAATGTTTCAAAAATAATCAAAACCAGATTTTCCCAACAAACTTCTTGAGTCACCTGCCATACATTTTGTATGAACCGATGCAGTCTCATCAAATTTCTTTAAATTTTTATCAATCACTCAAGCAGAGTAGTTAAACCATTATGTGAACCATAGTCTCCCCTTAAGGGGTTGCATAGGTCTTGAAGGCCAAAAAAAGCTTATTTTCTCTATTTTTTTTAAAAGATGCTAAATAAAGTATACAATTTATTTTATTTGCCTATAAAAGTACAATATGTGAACAACATTTGATGAAAGTTTGAATGAAAAATAGTATAAGTTAAGGCGTTGGCAGTGTCGTGAAGTAGACCGTCCACAGGAAAGTGCTTTCGCGGTAGTCATGATAACTTTTTCAATTTTTATCTGAAATCAAAACTTAAAATTTTTTCTTAAAGCAGGTGAACTTTCCTTGTCCCTGAACGAAACAAAATTAAAAAAAATTAAAAATGAATTATTTGTAGCGTTTCATACAACAACGTAATTTTTTATATAAAATTAGGCCACATATTCGCTTGTAAAATGAGTTGAAATCAAAAGTAAAATATTGGGTTGCCCAAAAAGTAATTGCGGATTTTTTAAAAGAAAGTAAATGCTTTTTTAATAAAACTTAGAATGAACTTTAATCAAATATATAATTGAGATTTTGTTCGATAACCTTTTGCCATCTTCCTGGCAAATTTAGTATTCCACGCTCATAGAACTTCTGGCCTTTATCTGCAAAAAACTGAACCAAGTGCGATTTTATAGCCTCATCATTGCCGAAAGTTTTACCATTTAAGGAGTTCTGCAAAGATCGAAATAAATGGTAGTCTGATGGTGCAAGGTCAGGGCTATATGGTGGATGCGTCAAAAGCTCCCAGCCAAGCTCACTCAGTTTTTGGCGAGTGACCAAAGATGTGTGCGGTCTAGCGTTGTCCTGGTGGAATATGACACCTTTACGATTGACCAATTCTGGTCGCTTCTCCTTGATGGCTGTATTCAATTTGTCCAAATGTTGACAGTAAACATCCGAATTAATCGTTTAGTTCCTTGGAAGCAGCTCAAAATATACGACACCCTTCCAATCCCACCAAACAGACAGCATAACCTTCTTTAGTGGTTTGAGCTGGTTCACCATGCTTGGACCATGATCGTTTTCGAGTAACGTTGTTGTAAACAATCCATTTTTCATCTCCAGTTATGATTCGTTTTAAAAACGGATCGAATTCATTGCGTTTAAGATGCATATCACAAGCGTTGATTCGGTGTGTTAAATGAATTTCTTTCAATACAAATTTCAAGCTTTTTCACCAGTCCAAGACTTTTTATGTGTTAATGAACGGTTGATTTTGGTATATTTAACTTCTCTCCTATCTTACGCTCAGTTACATGACGATCCAATTCGATTAATGCTTTGATTTGGTCATCATCAACTTCATTTGGCCGACCTGAACGTGGCTCATCTTTAAGTGAAAAATCTCCAGAACGGAATTTGCGAAACCAATTTTGACACTGTCTTCCTTTTAAGGCTTCATCACCATACACATCTCGTAACTTTTTAGCAACCTGCTCCGCGTTTTTTCCTTTACGGAAATAATAAAGTAAAATATGACGAAAATGCTCCTTTGTGGGCTCCATATTAAAATTGACGCCAAACAAACAAATGTAAACGAAATTTCGTGCACTTTTTTTCGAAAGCAAGCTAAAAGTAACAGCTGATAACTGACAGAAGAAAGAATGCAATTACAGAGTCACAAGCCGTTGAAAAAATTTGTCAACGCCGTCTATATGAAAAATCCGCAATTACTTTTTGGGCAACCCAATAAATCCTTCGTTCAGGGACCACAAAAACAAGCTTAAAAGAAGTGTGGAAAATTTGAACTCGATCGCTTCAATAGTCGTTGAGAAATTTTGACTACCGGTTTCGATAAAGTGGTTTTCAAAGAAACACATTTAAGGTTTTATCATCGATCAAGCTATGACAAAGACGGCGGATTATAAAACTCTCTAATTTCTACAGTTTCGTCTTGATCGACTTGACTTTTATACAGAAAATTATAAAAAAAATGAATTTTTTGAAGTTTTACGTGTATGTAACCCCTTAAAGCACGAAAAGTGACCATGTTTGAATCAACAATTTTGTAGTAAGTTATAAAGTTTTTAACGCTTTGTGCGAGTGTTAAGCGATTCATTTTCGTAAATGTCTGACTCTTAACTAAAACAAAACATGTTTTGTTTGGCAGTTATTTTCTATATAGGTGTCAAAAAACAGCCCTGTATTTTTAAAACCACAATGAATAACCCTATATAAGCAAGAAAAAAATGCATTTATTGGAGAAAATATCAAAAAAAAAAATTTTGAAATAGGTACACACTTAACATTATTATTTTGAACGAATTTCCTTTTCGATGCATACATACATACATAAGTAGATAATTTAAAAAAACACTATTATAAAGTAAACAAAAATCAATGTTTTTAAATATAATTTTGCCCAAATAGTTTTATTGCAAATCTTTTGAAACCCTCTCTATTTTCTATTTTTTAATGATATAAATATTTTGAAATTTAATTTTAAATCGTACTTGCTATGTTGTTTGTTTACCGAATTTATGTAACTTCATTGTTATATTTTCAATTTCATATTTTGCATGCAAACTTCAATGCATGTTACTTAACGGCACGAGATAATTTAGAGTTTTCTGCACCCCTTTTTTGTACACTTAGCCATAGCAAATATAAATGAAAAAATGATGGAATTTAATTCATTTAATAATTGTACTGCCTGCGTTTTCTTTACAGTGCTACAGAAGGTGCTGATTCGCACCCCGCTTCCGGCGGCGGCACACCCACTGGTGAGGAAGGTCAAATCGGACAGGGTAAGGGCGATGAAGCGAACAGTACGTGTCACAGTACAAAATTGATTATTGAATTGGTAACAAATTTAATGTGAACAATGTGCTCAATGTGCTTAACAAATGTTAATATATATGTAATTTTAAATTTTCCCAAAAACAAATGTATCTTTTTGTACTATGATTAACAAACAAAAACAAAAAAAAAATTTTAAAAGAAAATCCATAATGAATGCAACGTGTGGTGACAGGTTTACCACAACAATATGCTCGCTTACGTAATATTATTCTTTATTCATTTATATATTGCATAATGCATGCCGTGAAAACTATTTTTTTTTTTTAACTAAATTCTATCATGTTGCATTGTGTCTCGTGCTTTGAAAAATAATTACCTCTGCTTTCAGTGATTTATTTAAAATTTATTTTTTTTTATCAAATATTCAAGTTACCACCAAAGTAACACAACAGGCCAAGCATTTCGGCTCGTTCTTGTCGTCGGCAATAAATAAGGCGGGCGCTAAAATTAAGGAGACCGTTAAGGAGAATGTGAGTATACAATGTCATTTGACATTTACATAAACAAAAAACCAAAAAAAAAAACATATAAAATTGTATTTAATTGAAAAAAATGTGTCTTCTCAAAAACACTATCAGCCCATACTTGAGTCATTCAACAAAGAAAAGGAAGCCTTTATTAAAAGTCAAGGCGGCGCAGATTCCGGTGCTGCACCATGGATCGGTCACGCCAACGAGTCTAAGATCAAAGAGGAAATTCTCGGCCTCGCACAGGATCGCCGCAATTTTGTGCGAGCACCACCAGCTGGCGTTGATTTCGAATTCAACTATGATACAGCGTATCCCACAGCTATTGCTATAATGGCCGAGGATAAGGCGCTGGAGACAATGCGATTTGAATTGGTACCCAAAATGTAGGTGTCAACATTTAGTAATTATGCAATAAAGTCATTTTTTTTTTTTTAGTTTTTTAATATTTAATTTTATTTTGACTTTTTCCCCTCGCGCAAACTTTTAGCATTACCGAGGAGAACTTCTGGCGGAATTATTTCTATCGTGTTTCACTAATTATTCAGGCAGCTGAATTGGGCACACTTGGCGCTGATGGTGTTGGTCAGGCCTCAAGCGGTGAAGACGGTAAGTTTTATGTTAACTGTGTGGATGAGGAATTGACGCAAATAGAAAAGTCAAAAACGAGAGAAAAAAAATAACAAGAGCAAACAAAAGCAAAAAAAAAAACAATGATGCAAGTATGCTGTACCGCCTACTTACTCTCTTAAATACTGTCATTTATACTATCATCACTACTATAACGAATTCTACTATTACTACTATTACTATTACTTCGCTGCAAACTATTTTCTTTTATCGATTAGTTATCACACACTTTTACGCTCTTAACAAATACTTTAATTTATTTCTGTTTATTTTTTATTTTTTTTAATTTTTTTTTTTTTTGGAATATTTAAAATATCTTTTGCATAATTACGAGGCAATTTTATTCATTGAGTTTTACACCCAATTAATTTAGAAAGAAAGAAAAATCATTTCTCTTTAATTTATTATATCATTCATTATTCTGCTACCCAACCTACGTTTTAGTATACTTACAAAAACAAATTGTAGCATTTCATATGTACTATTTTTTTTAACGGCCTTATAATACCTATACATATTTCTGTATATATGAGTATACATTTTGATTTGAATCTTATTTTTAAGCAGTCCGTGTAAGAAACGTTTTTACTTGATTTATCGTTCGTCCATTATGATTCATTCGCTCAGTCAATTTTCATTTCAATAGAACTGAAATATTTGTAACCACACATTTGACACAACATATAAACATACACATAGCATGTAATTCTCGCTTTCTTGCGAATTGTACACCGGAAGTCTAGGACATCGATCAGCTCATAAAAAGTCAGTCGAATTATCTGCATAAAAGCATATTGACCGGCATTGTGAAGGGGCCAAAATTAATCAACTAATCAATGACGTAATCAAAATGTGCGGTATTTTTTTTAATCGCGTCAAACGGCAGAATTCATACTACATAAAAATGAATGCAGATGTCTGATTTATAACTGTTTTTTCTTTTGTTTTCTAATTTAATTTTAAGCTGTTTGGGTTTTTTTTGTGGACTCCTCACATAAAAGAAGAACTGTGAATTCTTATTACGTTGTTAGTGTGATCAAAATGATTCAAATAATAATAAAAATTTAAAAGACACTATTTAACTTGTATGTACGACCTTCTTTAGCTATTTCTCACACACTAACCCGATTTGCTTATAACAGCGTTAATCATTTGCAAGAGCATACTCGTCAGTAATCCACAAAATTATTCTCTTCCAACCTAGCTTAAAAAAATGTACGGAAAAAATTAAATTTCAATGTAAGGTTTTGATGGTTCTTCAAAACTTTAAGTTATTTTTCTTTTTTTTCGTTATAAGTATTTTATTTTATTTCTTATAATTGTATTCATTAATTTTTTTCATTTCATGTTTGGACACTTCTAATTTTTATTTAAAAAAAAAATTGGCGCAAAAAAATTTAAAAACAAATATATATATATTAATTTACTTAAATACATATATAATATAATATAAAAAAAAATTCCATAAATATGAAAATAAAATTCTCAATGAAAAAATAAACATACATATATGCACCGCTACAAATGGACTTACAGCCAACAACTTACAAAATGACAAATCTCAAGATAAAACTACTTCTGCTGGCTCTGTCACCAATGACAACCGAACGGCAAGCGCATCAAATAAGGATGCCGAGCCAGCTACACCAATATCCCCTATATTCCAACAACCCACCAGTGTTGGTGCAGATCTGATTGATGACAAAAAATCTCGACACAGTGAATCAGAGTTTGTTTCGGATTCTTTCCAAACGAATGCCGATATGGATTTGGAAGAAATCAAGGATGGCATGCGTAAATTAGGTATTGATAGTATGACAGAACAAGCATTAGGCAGTGATGGTAAGACATTTTTGATTTTTTACTTTTTAAATTTATTTAAGTTTCTTTGTTAAATTTAATTATTTTTTATTTATTTAATTTTAAGTTATATAGAAACTATAGAGGAGTTTTTTAATGCCAAAGTTTGCAAGTGCAGTAAAACCTGTGTTAAAGAGAACCGGGTAAGCGAGAAAGCTTAGAGCGATAGGGAAGTTTTTCAAAAAAAAGAAAAGCACATAAATCTCAGAAAAATTCATTTTTTTATCGATAGTGCGGTGCACATAATTTAGTGTTTGAAGATTATTTCATGCAAATGTTGACCGTGACTGCGCCTCAAATGGTCCATTCGCTTAGTCCAATTTTGGCATACTCTATCCAACATTTTGGCCAGTACCTCATGTATAAATGCTTCAATGTTGTCCTCCAATGCGTCAATTGAAGCGGCCTTGTCTGTATAAACATTAGATTTAATATAGCCCCACAAAAAACAGTCTAAAGGCGTTAAATCGCACGATCTAGGCGGCCAATTGACTGGTCCCGAACGTGAAATAAAATGTTCACCGAACTCGCCTCTCTATGAGTCCATTGTAACGCGTGATGGTATGCCATGTGGCACCGTCTTGTTGAAACCGCTTGTCATGATAGTCAAGCTTTTGCATTTTGGGCAAAAACAATTTGAAATCATCTCTCGGTAGCGCTCATCATTCACAATTACGTTACGATTCGCATCTTCTTTAAAGAAGTACGGTCCAATGATGCCACCAGCCCAGAAACCGCACCAAACTGTGACTTTTTCTGGATGCATTGGTAGCTCTTGCAATGCTTCTGGCTGATCTTCACACCAAAATCGACAATTCTGCGTATTTACGCACTCATTAAGTCAAAAATGAGCTTCGAAGCGCGCGATGAACTTTCTTAACAGTTCACGCATTTTGAAAACTCAATAATTTACAAACGTTGTTCGTTTGTAAGACGATTCATGGGTAAATTTTAGACCAAACTGTAGATGTTTGACAGTGATACAAAACGCGAAACGTGCGTCAGCTGTTAAACATAACAGCTAAAAAAAAAAATCACCCTTTATATATATACTTATATATAATTGGCGCTTTGTAACTGTGAAACGATTTTTCAGCCGAGCTTCTCCTCCAATTTGTAGTTTTGCGTCTTAATATTTTTCCCACAAAATGAAGGGACCTAAAAGTTTATACTAAGCCGTCTCCGAACGGCTGATGGGTCTTTTGTGAGGAGCCTTTATTTCATGTTCGAAATATACTCAGTGGGGTGGACATTCCCTGCCTAGAGAGGTGAGTATAATTCTCGGGTCGTAGATTTTCACCTGCAAAAACTCTTTTCGTTGCCTCGTCCTGCCTTCTAGAACTGATAGCCTCCCCTGCTTGTATCTCTATAAGGAACAATTTACCATTTATCAATTATTATATTATATGTATGACTCATTTTTTATTTTTCAAAGACTGTGTATCTGTGTTTTTACTCCATCAAATAAATCTTACTAAATTACCTTAACTAATGTGTCTCTATAGCAGAGGTCATAACAGTGCCCATTGCTTCCTTCTTTTCGCTGTTTGCCGCCGATTGGAGATACAAAGCACAGCCAGGTCCTTTTTCACCTAGTTTTCCAACAGAGTTGATATTTTCCTATTCGTTCGCTTACCTGGTTCGGATACTGCATAGAAAACTATCCGATCTGGCATCATAAACCGTTCGCAAAACCTTTCTCACGAAAACTACTAGCACCGACTCATTAGATATTGTCTTCGTCCATGCTTCTGCACCACATAGTAGGATGTGAATGATGAGTGTTTTTAACAGTTTGACCTTAGTTCATCGAGTGAGGACTTTACTTCCCACTCGCTTTCTCAGTTCAAAGTAGCTCCTGTTGGCAAAAATTATTCTGCGAATGGAAGGACGTAATGACGCGCTATAATCGACAATAATCGCATAAGCTGTGCCTACGCTAGTATAGAAGAAGAAGTGGGACAGACGTTTGCTGTATCTCTATTAACTCGGTATCTTAACCAGGTTTTACTGCAATTGTTACTAGGTTTTGTGTCTTAAGACTTAAAACTTTTACTTTTACTTGGTGAAACGTTTGTTTTATTTGTGACGTTTCCAAAAATTTTATTTTTATATTCTTATAATTTATACATGCATATGTACATATGTATGAAGTTATGTATAATTAAGTTATTTACGTTTTTATGTGTTTTGCCTAAGGATTTTTCTTTGACACCTGTACATAAATTTCGAATGTAACTAACTTTCATTCAACTCTTTCGCTTTAATTGAACTAAATAAAAAGAACTTCCTACTACGCGATGACTACCACTCAAAGGACTCAAAAAAAATGTTCGTTTATGTAATTGGTAAAGGAATTTCAAAAATTTTTTAAAAGCTACATGCGCATAATTCTCTTCATACAAGCGTTCTATCATCACTTCTTAACAGCGCCATACTTCATATACATGCATATTCGTATATATATATTTTTCGACAATTATTCATTTCCACACATAAAAGCGCTTCTGAAATAACAAGTATGCCATTAATTATTCTATTTCTTTCGTAACAATTATATTCAGAAGGAAGCTTCATTTTATAAAGCATACATTTTACATTTATATTGTATTTAATTTATGTCAATTCAAAAAAAAAAAAAAAAAAAGAAANTTGTTTTCGTATTCTTCGCGCTCAAAAATGTCCGTTTATGTGCCTAATTCTCGCCATTTGCGGGAAATTTTACTTTTCTGTTAAAATTCAAAAAAAAAAAAAAAAAAAGGAAAAACAAAAGAAAAACATAAAGCGCTTCCCTTAATTTACTTTCATCAAAAATGTGAGCATTCGTATTCGTCCAAATTATACATGTGATTTTACAGTTATTCGTGCAGATCTCGTTTAAGTCACTATTCTCACTATTTTTCGCCGATATATAAAATAAATACTTAACTGTACTTCAAAAGCACTGCTTTATTTTACTACATGCATTTGTAGCATATTTTTGCCACACACGTCTTTTGCACTTTTTCCTTCGTTCGATGAATTCGTCTCATTGCTACTTTGTGCTTTATAAAGATATAATGCAAAAAAAAAAAAACAAAAAAAAAAAATAAAATAATTTGAAAAATTTTCAAATCAATCAAACAAACAAATCGAAACAACAACAGCAACAACAACAGTGTAAATTGTTTTTCTTACTTTTTTTCTCGTTTTTTTCTCTCTCTCCTTCTTTTTTCTTAACTTAAAATATTGGTTACGTTTACTACTACTACAACAACAACAACAACAACAACTACAACAGCAATGTCATTTAATTATTAAATGTGTAAACAAGTCAACAAAGACGTTAAATACCGTTAATAATGAAAATAATAATATACATATATATATATATATATATTAATAAATAATTTCATATAACGAAATTAACTACATTTTAAAATCAATTGCAACGTGTAATATCGAATTACTACAACAAAATTAGTGCTAGGCGTTAATATTTTATTAGTGTATATTAGGAAAGATTCTAAATTATCAACAACAAAAAAAAGAAAAAACAAAAAAAAACTTAAAAAAAAACACCGAAATTAAGAATTGAAAATTACAAAAACACAAACAAATAGCACGTACACACATACACACGTAATAAGTACATTATTCAGCGTGTTCGTAGTCTTAAATGAAAAACAAATAACAAAAACAAAAAATTCTATTATGCCTAACACTAAAAATTAACCCACAGAAAACATTAGCGCGCATATATTTATGTGTATGTATGTATTATAAGAGTGTAAAGAAAACTACAGTAACTAACTACAATAACAGAAACAAACATACTGATTTAACGCACACATATGTATGTACCTACCTACATAGTACGTATGTATGTATGTATGTATGTGGTTACACTTAAAGTTTATATTTTATACCATTTTTCCATTTTCCAAATATGCTCATGAGATACTCAACATATCCCCCACATTTACCATAATAAATATTTATTAATTTTATTATTTTTATTAGTTTTTATTTTTATTAATATTATTATAAGTGTATATGCATATATATATACATATATATATTTTATTTTTTTTTGCAAAAGCACGCTTTTCTCGCTACTACCCCGCCTTTGTATACTCGCCTCTTTGAATTTCTCAGTTTTTTCTTTCGTCTTTATGCTCATAATCGCTTTGCTTTCTTGCATACATAATATGTTTCCATTTTCCAAAATAAATTAAGAAAGTAAAAAACCATAAAAGTCAAATTTGAAATTGAAGCAATTCAAAGAGAAAAAAGTTTATTTTCTATTTTAATTTATTTTTAATTTAATAATTTTATGTATTGTATGTGGAAACAAAGTAAAAGACAAGTATCGCGCCTTTTGGCAAAATTTTATGAAACACAAAAAAAAATACCGTTTATTTTAGATTTTTTGTACACACCATTTGCGATTCGATAAAAAAAAATCAAAATAATTCAATTTGACTTAATCAACAACGAAAATTCATAATTATTTATTTACTTTTCTTTTCGTTTCGTTTTTACATCATCTTGCAGAAGATTGAATGGATTTCCGCTAAATTACTATGTATTGAAAAAAAAAGTAACCAAAAACTAACAAAATTACAAAAATGCAAAAAGAAACCAAAGTATCACATAAATTTTATGTATGTAAAGAAACAAAAACAAAAACAAAAACTAAAACAAAAACTAAAACAAAATGAAATCACAATGATTAGAAAAGAAAACGAACTCCTTAAAAAAGTAATAGCAAGAACTGCAATTCCAACAGAAAGAAACCCAAAAATATGTTTACTCAATATACATAATACAAAACCAAAAGAAAAGAAAGAAGAAAAAGAAGAAGAAAAAACAAATAAATAAAGAAATAAATTACTCATAAAAAATATCAAAAGACAAAACATAACAAAAAAAAAAAATTTTGTGTGGTAAGTTTAGAACTGTTGATTTTACAAATAAATTACAATTACACAATTATTATG